ACAACTGGGCAGCTGCTTCCCTTGTGCTGTGAGCACTGCCAGAGCTGTGGACCATGCAAAGATGACTTTGATTTCCCTGTCCATGATTCCAGATCTGTTCATCAAGTATGTGCCTGCCCTGTCTTTGGGTCTTGTTAAAGTTGCGTGTTGGGGCTGCTGGACAGAGGCTGCTCCTAGGGGATTCCTGAGCACAGGAGCTTTTCTCAAAACACTGTGAGAGCTGAACAGGCGGGAGTAAAGCTACATGCAAGTATTTGTTGTATGAAGTGCGGGGATTTGCCAGAGGGAAGTACCTTCCCAGCTTTTAACTGCAGTGTTGCTTTGTAATTATTAATTTGGCTGGAAAATTCCACTCTTCTCAATGCAAACCCAGATACAATTTTGCCATGAATTACATTACCTGGAAAATAATAAAACTCCTATGAATGTACAGTCTCCAGGTGAAACTGAATGCTGAGCATATTGTTGGAAGCAAGCTGAGTCTCATTAAATATGCATCCCAGTGTTACAATTGCACTTCTTTACAGAATACTTTCATGGTGATGAGTGCCAAGGATTTCTCTTCTTATGGTGGAGAAGAATAAAGAAACCAGCTCTGTGCAGTGTACAGGGAGTCTGGATTTAAAGTAATACCTGCACAAGTGGAGGGTCAGTCATACTCTGTGGATTTCTCTGCCCTGTGCTTCTCACTGAATCCTCATGAATTGGATTTCTTATCTGCTCCCCTCAGTTTGTTGATACTTTTAACATGAGGGAAAACTATTTTGATATTTCTCTGTCAGTTATTTTGACATTAATCAACACTGCAGATCTTGTTTTGTTTGGTGTCTGGGTACATCATAAAAAGAGTTGCTGAAAGAGTTCAATTACAATATCAGCATCTCTGCCAAATGTATTGAGCTGTTCTGAAAAGCGGCTTGTCTTTTCTGACCCAGATACACAGTTTCCAACTGTGGGAGATGCTGCCAGAAAGACTCTTGGCAGAAGGCCAGCAATAAAATTATACTGCAGAAAAAACACAACATATTTTCAGCAGCACTTTGGACAGTGTGATGAGAAATTACCTGAATGCAAAGCAGAAGTTAAAATAAGCTTCCAGTTTAAAGTTGCAAACTTCTTTATCTGCCTTGGTAAAGGTAAGAAAAAAGGGATGTACATTCCAGTTCTGTTACTGTGTCTGATACACCTCTGGCTGTGTTAAAGACAGGTTTGTTATTAGCAACCTTAGTTGTCCTTGTTGCTCTGTTAACATAAACTTTGAGTGATCTTAGGGTGGTGTACACTGTAAACTGTAGTTCTTTCTCATGGGCAGATAGTGGTATAAGGTAGATTAGGAGGGTGGAGGGTGTTTTTAATGCTTCAGCTGAATATCGTTGGCATATGCCTTCTTGATGTAGCATTTAAAACCCATTTTCATGGTGTTCTACGTGGCCTGCTCAGGTGCCTAAAGAGCAGCTCACTGAAGTGAGGGTTTGAAGGGCTGGAGTCCAGTGACTCTGGTTTCCTCCTCGTCATTCCATGCAACATAACTTTGTGCTGCAAGGGGTATCAGGGTGCCAAAGTTTGTCTCTCCTTTCTAGAAGCTTACAGCTCCCTAGTTCTGATGTTACATTCCAGTCCCCATGGAGTGCAAGTACCCGTTTCTCCTGCTTTTTCACTTTTCACAAGCGCTCAAAGGTACTGAGGCATATTCATTACTTCTGGCTGTTTAAATGTCTGTCTCTTGGGAACACACTCGCCAGATGCAGGAATATATCCTGTTACAAAGGCTTCATCTGAAATTCTTTTCGTTGTTTGTCTTGTGCCAAAGCATAAACTTACGTGAAGGATGGGATGTTTAATGGAAACGCTGTTAGACTGTCATGATGTTTTAATAACATTTGTGATGTGTCAAATCCCAGTGACTTTAAACCCCACTGCAGACTCAACTCAGCTCTTCTGTGACCTGATTTGGGGGCAGCAAGTATTTACTCTTGTTTTACACTTTTAGAGCCACAGGATGCAGGGGTAAAATGACCTTCTCAAGGTCACCAAGGTTGTGGTAGCACTAGGAGCTTGTCCTAGGAATTTCCTTGCGGAGTGTGGGTGGCAGCCCCGGGTTGACAACCATGTGTTGTAATACTGTGCCTTTTAGTCCAGGCATCAGCTGTTACCTCCCTGAGGATGGAGGGGCAAATACTCTGCTACAGCCTGGTAGTAAAATGATACTGTTGGATTTATGGAATTGCTGCTCACTTCACATAATGCTTTCTGATGTGTTTGGTGCTGAGCTATGTTCTGCTGCCTTAGTCCATATGGTTGAGCAGATTTGATTTTAGTTTTCCCTAATTTAATTCTGCATGCTGTCAAGTGTACTTTGTTCTGTATATTGTGTCTACACTTTTACAGTAAACTCCCTCCTGTTTAGTGCTTTTGTTGAAAAATTTCTCTCAAAGTCTGAACTATATTTGGTTTTCACTCCTGTGCACATTTGTGTGAGATATTCTTAGGATGTTAATGACTTGAAAGGCATCATATATAAGCTTCAACTCAACTTTCAGGGTTTTTTCTTTCCAGCTGTCTGAGCTTTATAATAAAGATCCCTTCATAGTTCAGCTGGGTATGTACTGTCTCGCCATTCGCTGGTGAGAAACAGGGCAGGTAGAATCAAATTCATGAATACCTTCAGTAACTCTTCCTTGTCACTGGAAGTTGAGCCCGTATTGAAAACAAGATGGTTACTACCCACTTAAGGCAGAGTGTTAAAAGCTGTTGGTGGTTTTGCTTCATCTGTCCAGTAGATTAAGCCCTGTCACAGTTATGAAACATTTGTTTTCAGTCTGTTTCAGGCTTTCAAAGAGCACTCGGCAATGAGAACTGCACCCTGAGGTACGTCTGTTTCCAGAGCCTGTGGGGTAGTTTGCAGACGTGCCCTGAGACAGTCTGCTCAGCAACTGACTGCAGCACCAGAAAGTGCTCAGCCAGCGATCTTTGTCCATCTGCTTTCAGTACACTGTACATGCTGATAAGCAACAGCTTGCAGTAGTCTTCAGAGGGAGGCCAGGCTGGAGTGTTGCTCAGAGTCTAGAGACATTGTACTGGGCATATGCTGAAGTCAGCAACACATTCCAGTGCCCTTCTCTCTGCCTGGAATTGCCAAGTTACAGTTACCAGAGAAGATAGCAAACTGAAAATGTGAAATGTAGGAGTCTTGGGGAAGAAGAGTATGTGAAGAGAGCTGGAATTTAGTTTGAAGGGAGAACTAATTTGAAATAGATGATCTAGAAACATGTCTCATAAAAGTCTCTCTAGCTTGCCATCTGCTGACTCAAAAGCATATTATTATTATTATAGAAAAGCAAACCAAAAAGACCTCATAAAGAGTCTGGTTGCTTCTGGAAATGGTGAAAGGCTACTGAATGTGGAAGAGATTATGACTAGCTCATAGAATAAATAGTGCCAAAGCAGTAATCTTTGCTTATTTTTCCTCCCAGCTGCCTCTGCTTGGCTTTCAAGATCTCTTAAGAGATGAATCTGGTCCTATGAGAGACCATCCCCTTCTTGATGTCTTTTGGGAAGCAATTTGGTAGAGCGTTAATATGCTTTGGTAGGGTATAGCCTTTGTGATCAGAAGTGAGGTCCTTCAGGGTTTTCATTAGCTTGCTTTTCCCAAGTATTTTTAGTATGACTGCATTTAACTCCCTTGGGATTTCTTCCTTGGCAGTCTTCAGCTGCTGGAGCAGACAGGGTCCTGCACAATGTTCTTGTCTGGCTGCTTTTTGTTTTACTCAATTCTACATCCTAAATGTGGTGTGAGATACAAACAACTATTAGGCACTTGCTGCCAAAGCTTTTGGTCTTGTAAACCCAATTCATTTCTTAACTAGGAAAATAGTGAAGCAGGATTTGTTGTTCCCTTTCCCTCAGCTTGTTCAAATCTCTATGGGATGCAACGTTTAATTATTCCCTGTCACACCCCTGAGGTTTAAGCATCTACTCAGCTTTCAAGTCAGCTTGCCTATCCCTCTGCTGTTACCAAACATGCTTTTAATCTCTAACAATGTCAGGATTCTCTGACAGACAATAAGCAACATATTGCTAGAGAAGGAGAATCGGCATACAGGAGAAAAGGAAAACATTTGAGTGTGTCAGTCTGCAGCAATTTACTGACTGGGTTTCCAATTGCTTCAAAACGTTGCTAAAAAGCTGATGCAACAATATGTGCAGTGAAAAGAAAACAGGAATTTTCTGCAAGGACTAGATTGTCTTGCTATGCAATGAGCTTATGCTTTCCTCTTTGTCACATTACCTGCTGTTATCCTGCTCTTCTCCTGTCTTACAGAGCATTTATTTGCAGTTCCTTATGCTGCCAGTGCTGGTGTTTGTTTCCTAGTTTAGTACAAGAGGGCTGCTCCTGTGTGCTGTGAAAAGCAGTGCAAGGGCAGGAAAGGCGGTGTGGATGATTTCAGCTGAGCATTCTCACAAGTTGTATCTTCAGTCTGCTATAATGCGCTTGTCTCTCTAAATAACCACTTACAGCTATTGCCACCCGAAGTCTTAGTTTTTCCAGTATCAGCATCTGACACGTTTAGGATCAAGGGCTGCACTGGAGACTTGAAGAGATAATTTCTTTTAGATAATGAAACACAGTGTGTTTGATTTTTATGTGCATGCAACATAAAAATAGAGACTTCTTGAGCTGGTTTCACATGGAGCATATTTGAGATGTTGGATATCCTGTCTTCCTCATATCAGAAGCTTGGATTGCCAGGTGGCTGACAAACCACACTGAGATAAGCTCTAACTGGCATGGGAAAACCGTTACATACGTGTGGGCACATTACAAAAAGTTGCTTTCCACAGTGACATCTGCTTGTTCAGGAATAAATGGATCGGTGGCTGCCTCCCCATCTTGAAGCTCCTTGCTTTAATCAGCGTTTGACTCCAAATGCTGCAATGCACACTTACTGGAATTAACATGCCATTTCTTCTGGTTTCAAGTTGTTTCTCTCTTTTTACAGGTGAATTGCAGACAGTGACTCCCAGAGCATCTTGGCTGTATGAACTCTTGAGCTGTCAAGGGACTGAGAGGCTTATGAAGAGGTTCTGTCAGGCAAAACAGTGCTTAGCCAAGACACCAAGGAGGAGGGAAAAGGAGAAAGGGAGGGAGAGAGAGCTGAAACACTAACAAACCATGGTAGGTATCTGTAATCTTTCACAGAATATTAAGAATATTCTCTGCTGAGAGCGTTGCATGGGGCATGATGAAACCAGAGTTAAAGGGATTTTCTGACCTTGCACTAAACTGGGGATGGTAGTGCATGTTTTGAGCAAAGCAAATGAGGTTTGATACACTTTCAGCCTCTTAAAACCAGAGAGTTGTCTTGTGAGCCTGCATTACATGAATTATTAAATATGAATGAAGGGGATGCTCGTAAGGTTTTCTAATAAAACTGGCATTAGCAAGCTGCAGTGAACAGCATGAGTGACCTTGAACTTGCAGATTACATAACCAAATCCTGATATTCACCTCTCCCTCACAAAAGCAAGTATCGATTACTCGTATTTGTGTGACTGAATTTGGTTCTATGTGGACTTTGTGAATAGTGTAGCTGAAATGCATGTAGTTGAATACACTTGGTGTATATTATTTAAGTGAAGAGTCATTTCTTATCTGCCTGGGATTGGTTGTGCATTGGGAGTGCTTGAGAATTCATAAAGCTATGCAAATATGAAGTATTGTGATGGTAAGATTCTGAAGATGTATTCACAAAAGGCAATAAACCCACCCAGTTCCTGAAAAATACCTGTGAAGAGGAGTTTAAGCATATTTATGTATCTTTACATCCTGTAAGATTATTAGTGAGAGAACAGAAATGAGAAGAAATGCAATTTTAAATGCATTTGTGTAGCTGATGACTGCTGACAGGCTGTGTTTATCTAAGAGAAGACTTTTACCTGTTAGGAGCACAAAGGGTGGAAGAACACATCAGAGCAGGGTTGTCATCATACTGTATTTCAAAGTGTCCCATTTTTGCTATTCTGTTTGGCCTAAGTTGCAATGAAGACTTGATCTTTTCAGTCTCCCTTTATTAGAAAAGGAAACAAATGTCTTCTAATGTAAGAATTACTGATTTATTCCTGTTTTACTGATTTTCCTAATTGGTATTTTATGAGGTAAGAGATGGTGGGGGGAAGTTAATGAATCCAGCTTGTCAGTTTTCACTGCTGAACTGCAGCTTCTTTCTGTATCCATGTTGCAGATAAGCCACAAGAGGGACCTCCTGGAAGCATTTTCCAGCCTATGAAAGTTCTGGGGATAAAACCATACCCCAGCTGATGAGGTTCTTTTACTACCCCAAGTGTCCATTTGGGTAGGAGCCCGAAAGTTAGGAAGGGATTGATGTCATGCTGCCCTTCAATGGCAGGGACCCAGTGAATGCAGTAAGCCAGGAAATCCTGACCAGTTCTTTAACAAGGATTCAACCCAGAGGCCTCTGACATCCTTGAAAGGCTCTTTTTTGTTGTTAAGAGTGCATACTGTTACAAACCCATGAAGCAGGGGTGAAAATGAAACCCGATCAAGGTATTTAATGTGTAGGAGGAAGAGAGGTTTTCGGTTCATGATTCCAGGATCTGGGAAGCTTTCAGCAGTGGTTTGTGTGTCTATAAAGAACAAGAGTTAAAGCAGCTCTCACCAGAGGTCTGTGCTGTGATCACAGCTGGTCTGGGTCACTGTTTAGATCAAAATAGTCTCATCTGGATAGTGTGTAGCAAAGCGTAAGCCTCCTAGCACAAGCTAATCAACCACTTAAGTTTACCTTCCTCATCAGTATCACTCAGGACTCCAAGTTTCACTGTGGACTGCTTCAATTGACACTCTGATCTTTTCCTATTATTTTTATTAATTTTTTTTGTAAGACATTATTTCAGTCTTTCCTTACAAGTTTCTCTCTACCCTCATCTTCATTCACGCCTCTGTAAATCCCTGTGCAGTTTGCCTAGCTGCTCTCAGCAACATGTATTGCCTATGACTTCATCTGCAGCAGGAACAAAACCATAAGGGAATGGTTATTTGATTGCCTTGTTCTAAGGCGTGCTGCCATTGTCTCTGGCATAAATAGGGAATAGATGACTGCACTTGGCACTTTGAGAATGTGCAAAATTGTATTTGGGGAGTATCAATGCCTTTTACAAAATGGGAATCTTGTCCATGTTCTCCCTGCCTGCCCTTTCCATGTGCTTTACCCAGTCAGCACTCACCTAAATTTCAAATTTCTGAATTTCCCTACTTGAAATAAGTTACCTTTTGGGATAAGGAACGTGGCTTTTCTCTTTGCTCTGAGCCGTCCAGCTCAAAGATTGCTGAAATTCAGGAACACCTTAATTCCTGCAAGGATTCCAGGGTAGGGAATGCTCTTTCTTACAGTACTGTAGCTCACAGCTTATTATCTCCATGAGATGTTGTTCCTTTGGGCAAGATCAGGGCCTAAGTGATTTCTACTGGCTTTGAAAGCTTAATCTAAATAGAGAAGCTAGTCAAAGGATGAGGGAAGTCAGACACTTAATGAAATTGGGAATGGAACTCAGGGTTTTTTGTTCCCTGCTTTTGCACTCTTTAATTAACCAGCCAGACCATGCCCTCTTCTCAAAGAGAAGCTGGGCAGGGAGAGGGCAGGGAGAAGTGAGATAAACAGTGAAAAAGAGAAAAGGACTGGGGGGAGTCATGAGAGGACAAGCAGCAGAAATCCCACTTCTAGCCATTGCCATCTAATGCGTTCTACAGGTCTTGACCCTATTTTGTATCCGCCTCTAGACGTGCGTGGGTGTAGAGTTCTGTCCAGTCCTACGCCTAAGTTCTCCCTCTTCCTGATCTGTCACTGGCACACACAGTGTCACAGCCCCCACTGATGATGGAGGAACCAAACAGAAGATGAAATTCAGGTTGCTTCATTTCTAGATGTCTGTAGCAGCTCCTGTACTGTGGCTCAGACTTGTGTGGTCACATATGGGGGGGTGAGGAAACGTCCCTCTAACACACAATTTATCTCATCCTAACATAAACTCTGCTCCAGATGTGCCTGGTAGACATAAATGGAAACTGTGCTCCCCATGTGCCTGTTCCTCTTAGTAACCAGTAAAAGGGTTCTAGAAGAGCTGAATTTAGGCATCTACTATCAGGTGCCATACAACCCACCCAAGATCTTAGATATTTTACCAGCTTAGTGCTGATCTTTGCACTGGTGTTCGCTTGCTTTCCCTCTTATTCTTTTTAAAATGTATTTAAATAAACGTAAGAAATCATTCCTGCATGATTATAAGCAATGATCGTCATAAAACACAGTCCTACATCTGTCAGGGAGGATTCCCATTCAGGCAATGTCCTTCTATTGATAATCCAGTAACTGTGTTCTTTTCCCCCCCCTGTTTCCCACTTCATAACAGAGATCTATCCGATCTTTTGCTAATGATGACCGCCATGTAATGGTGAAACATTCAACCATTTATCCATCTCCAGAGGAACTTGAAGCTGTCCAGAACATGGTATCAACAGTAGAATGTGCCCTTAAACATGTCTCTGACTGGATGGATGAAAAGAACAAGTCTACAAAATGTGAGGGTGATGTGGAAGCAAAGGAGGAAGCTGCAGAAAGCAATGCCAAGTGAGTGAGTTGAGCCTCATAATGTGTTACTGTGCTGCTCTGAATGGGTTCCTTTCCCTCTAAATAAGTCACAGTGTTATTTGATTCTGTTGCATATGAATGTTCATCAAAGGAAGTGGATATATTTTTGAGATGGAAGCACACAGGGCGAGTGCAGGGCATAGTAATAAGGCCAATGTGGGCAGCAGTTGCTCTCTATTTCACTGCTTATTTTACTGTGATGTTGTGAAGTTGCATTTAGTAGACAAACCTTTCTGCAATTGTAAGCAAATACATGTCCCTGTAACACCAGCGCCAATCCACAGCCATATAGTTTAGGGGCTCTTTCAGTTTAATACACAAAAAAAGATTCTTATAAACTACTGTTTATCCAACAAACTAACTGTTCTAGGGATCCATTTTTGCCATGGTTTAACCCAGTTAAACTCAGTACCACATGGCCACTCGCTCCCTCCCTCTGGTGGGATGGGGGAGAGAATCAAAAGGGAAAGAACGAGAAAACGTGTTCACTGTGGTAAAGAAATTGAATAGATAAAGAAAATGTTGTGTGTGCAAGCAAAGCAAAATAAGGAATTCTTCACTTCCCATGGTTGAGCAGCCTTCTCCAGGACAGGAGGGCTCCATCACAGGTAACAGTTACTTGGGAAGATAAACACCATCACTCTGAATGTCCTACCTTCCTTCTTCTTTTCCTAGCTTTATATATTGAGCGTGATGTCCTGTGATATCCCTTGGGTCAGCTGGGGTCTGTGTACCTTTCCAACTCCTTATGCACCCCCAGCCTGCTCACCAGCACGGTAGCTTGAGAAGCAGAAAAGGCTTTGAGGCTGTGTAAGCACTGCTCAGCAGTTCCCAAAGCATCTATGGGTTATCAACCTTTTTGAGTACAAATCCAGACTATTGCCCCATACATGTTTCTGTGAAGAAATGTAACTGTCCCAGCCAAATCCAGTGCAATTATGTAGTTATCAACTGAGTGAAACGTCTGTTTGCTCTGTGTCCCAGTCTTCTCCCTGCCATGGTGCCAAGTTTTGTTCTAGCATAACTCCAGGAGTGGGGGAAAAAGCAGGAACAACTGGCTCTGTTTAATGTTTATTTGTGTAAAACTTAAGTTGGGCACTTCTGGCTCTTCCCTGCTTTCTGGATGTGTTTCACGTGCTCTCCAGCTCAGGTAAGTATCTGTCCAGGTTACAGATTAGGAAGCAGAGCACCAGGGCATCAACAGCTACTTTGTCAGAACTCAAAAAAACGCTTCCCAGTTCTCTTCCTGTAGTACAATACTCCACTGAGCTTCTTGGGATTTAGTGTGGTTCCATCTGTAGCATAACCTGCACTAGAAATGTAGTCAATGGACTCTTTCAGGTTCCTTCACAGTGATGCATGCACTGTTAAGAAAGTCCGCTGCTACACAGGCTTTGCCCAGTAAGTTCTGGTTTAAAATGACAAAGTTTAATGTTTCACATATGGTCTGTTTTCTGACACACTGTATGTCAGTGAAAGGTGGTGAGGCCTTTTCTCATTGTTGGTGTGCTGCTATATAATACAAATGTGAAGTTGTTTACATTTTGGGATGGCGCAATGTGGTTCTTAGTTATTTCCAAGTTTCTTGTAAATGTTTAGGGTACTGTTCAAGAAGTAAGGTATGAAGCCCTGCTGTACCTCACTAACTGGATGTACTTCAGTTTAGGAACAAGTGATGTGCTGTATTAGCTGAGGGAACCTGTGTGGCAGAAAGCATTCACTGCTTCATCTGGTTTCCCAACAAGGTGATGGATTCTACTGAACATTCCTCACTTAGTAGTAGTGTTTTTCCACAGGTTTCTTTCTCAACATTTAATCTTGTCTTTGATTAGGATGAGGTTCTGGGCTTGGGAGCTACTGAAAGAAACTGCTGGTCTTGCATGAAGTTTAAATGAAGCAGTGTGAAGACCATTGTATGATAGCCTTGGAAAAGTAAATACACAAATGGTCCCCCGTTTTGATGCCTGTGGCTTTCTGTGTTCCCTAATGAATATTTAACAGACACAAGCCTGATCACTGGCTTTTTTTTTGTGTAAGACCAAGCTGTGATATGTCACTTTTTTTTGGGTTTTTTTTTTTTGGTGTGAAATGCATGCAAATAAAAATAGCAAACCACTTCAAAATATGAATTTTTTACATAAATTAACGTATTAATTAGCTTAAGACAGCGTGATTGTATTGGCACCAGAGGATAATTGTAGTGGGTTGATAGGCTGCTTCTCCAAGGAAGGACAATTAAGTTCTGTCATCTTCTCAAGGCAGGTGTTTAAGCTCAGTGTTCTGCTGAAGCACTGTCTCTCTTGATACAGTGTGCTTTGTGCTTTGTGGTGACTTCCTGGTGCCATATTTAGATGTCTTCTGATGTGGGTATAGAATGGCATAGAATGGATTCTTTAAAAAAATAATGTGTATTTTTAAATCCAAGCCTGCAGAAATGCTTTTGTGACAACTAAACAGTTGCTTTCACACATGTGTGTGCAGGGGTTTTCATGCTTGTGCTGTTACAAATTTAGAGTACAGCTCTTGAACATCAATGTATTATTTATAGAGTATATATAAATGTCTATTATGCATTTGTTTGGGACAAATTATTTTACCAGTCACTTTACAAGATACTTCTAAGTGAAGCCTAGGATGTACGTGACAGCCCTCCATCACAGTGTGACTGGTTTGGGTGTTGGGGTTTTGCTGGGGCTTGGATTTCTTTTGTTTATATGCAGTCCATCCCTCTGAATGGTAATAATGATAGGAACAGGGATGCTACCTTGCTGAGGTAGTTTGCCACCTTTCCCGATTCCATGTTTTCTGTGGGGTTATAGTGGCGATGTGCCATAGGTGCAAGATGCATTATGTGGCAGTAGCCAGTGTTGAACTGTTCAAGATGCATTTCTTGCATTTTTCTTATGTTTTTATGCAATCCTAGCCTTACTAAACTGTTTGTTGCAGTCTTTCAGCACTCAAAACTAAGGTGTTCTTATGTTGCTTTGAAAGCTGTTTGCTGTAGCTCTTAAATGCTCCCCTAAACTGCAGCCAGAGAGTAAAAACTAGGAGTCAGACCTCTATTTGTCTAGGTTTCAGCTGTAAGATTTGTTGAAGGAATTGTGCTTGGAAGACTTCTGGAAATGAACAGCTTTCCTCAAATGTCAGTTTGTGGTATGGGCTCTGACTTCCTAAGTCAGTTAAATAATTTTAAATATACAGGTTTGAATGTGTGGATCAGCAAACATTTAAAAGGTGTGTGGCCATGCGTAAAGTTGGAATGTCACTAAAAGACAACTGAGATCACTCTGGAAAGCAGGATTTCTCTCAGAGGGCTCCTCTAGATTAATTACTGTTGCTCTCTCAGTAGACCTGCAGATACTGAATTTGGGCTAGGCTGCAGTTAATCTTGTGATTTGTATTTTCTAACCAGTGACACTTCAGTACAGTCATCAGCCCCATCTATATCTTCTCACTGTGATAGGATAATACAATTATATTGAATGTGTGAAAGTACCATTTTAATTACTCCAAATTGTTTCATTTCCAGGGATCAAGGTGGTCGGACGTTGTGTGGTGTTATGAGAATTGGCTTGGTTGCAAAGGGCTTGCTGATAAAAGATGATATGGATCTGGAGCTGGTGCTCATGTGTAAAGAAAAACCTACAAAGACCTTGTTATGTATAGTTAAAGACAATCTCCCAGCTCAAATTCAGGTGAGTTGATTCAGGGTACTTCTCTAGCAGTGGCTGAGAGCACTGCAAGTTGTATTTGGGTAAAGGCTGGAATCTGTACCAGGAAAAAAGACAAGTGATAAGAGAATAAAAAACACTTTGAATCTAGGATGGCATCTAGGGTGTGTATGTGGTGACATGAAGTAGTTACGGACATAATTTTACATCTTACTGCTGCTGTTGCCTACTCCCTGTTTGTGATGTCCGTTTCCTGTGATGGCAGCTAACCTTTCTCTTTAGGAACTAACCCAACTGGTTCTTGCTCTCTGTTCAACCACTAATGTGATCTAAAGCACAGTCCCAGAAATCCTCCAGCATGTGGATTGGTCTGTATTGTCCTTGTCCCCTGCCTGGAGCTGAGGTTCTACACTGCAGCTGCTTTGCTTCGCTTGGGCTGTTCCCAGATCAGCGCCTCTGTACTCCTGAAGTGAGAGCAAGTCACTTGAGGTGGTCGCTCATTTTAGCTCATGTTAATCACGAGCTCATCGTTCTTTTTATTTATGGCTATTTAATTCTGATGCTGGCATCCAGTAAGAGCACTTGCAGCTAATACCAGTCTCTTTAAAGCAGCTGGGGATAATACCTGTTTGACAGTGCTGAGTCTGAATAATCACTCCAGCTTCCAGACTGGCACACACTGCTGCCGAGAAACTGTGCCCTGGAGCAGTCCACTGCAAGTGCCTCTCTCCAAACCATGTCCAAACCTGATCTGCTTCTCTCCTGATCTGCTTTTTATGCCTTGTGTTTATTTCCACATAGACAGTATGTGATCTACCATTCCCTTCTCACTATTCATTTGTTCATGTAAAGGCCTTGTTTTAATGAGATGATGTTGTGCCTGCAGATGTGGCCTTATCCATAACTAAAAATGCTATGAATCTTTTAAGTAGTAAATTTTGTTTGAAAATGATGGGGATGTATCAAGCAGTAAAGAGTAAATTTTTTTGTTTGTAGTGAGGTGTGAGATGAAAAGGGTTGAAAGTTGATAAGAAAAGTTAGCATATGTTTCAAAAAAAGTGAGAATTGCAGAATAGTCATAATTGAAGGATGTGAAGCCTGCAATAAATTCAAGGGACAAGTAGGTAAGATCCTGTGGGGAGAAGTATTGCAAGGGAAGGGATTACAGAAAAGATGACGTAAGAGGCATCTGACTCATGAATCAAGCTTCAACCATCATGGGCATAAGAGACAGGGAGGGTTCTGCAGAAGCAGCAGGTCCAGTGGGAGGAGGAAGGTCCAAGCCCATCAGGTGGAGAGCTGTTAACAGCTTCTGCTCCACTTCTTTGAAGGTCAGGAGTGAGGAGATAGGAACAAAGGAGTTGGAGGAGTGCAGACTGCAAGAAGGGAAGAAGTTAGAATGTACATCAGATATATTCTAACCCTGTGGTCTTGACGAGACGAACCAAGCTCTGTCACAGGCAGAAGGAACAGTGACAGGAGTCTGACCCATCTGCAAGGCTCTTTGCTCTTTTGGAGATTGAGGCCAGTCCCAAAGGACTAATGAAAGACCTGTGGATACAGATCACTTGAGATAACACTGGTACAATGCAAGTTAATGGCACGATTTATAAGGCACTTGTACTATTATCTGCAAAAGAAATCTAAGCAAAAAATAAAAAGCTTATTGAAAACTATTTTAAAAGCACTCAATTTACTGGTGTGCTGGTGAGAGGAAGGCCACATTTTCCAGGCATTGTCAAGGATCTCCTGGGGCAGGTATTAATGAATGAAGCAGGTGCAGTATTGTCCCGGATCCAGTTTCATGTGCTGTGTGGAAAGGGAGCAAAAGAGGCGGAAGGACGAACTGGAGATCAGAGCAGTGAGAATGGGCACCTAGAAAACAGTGTAATTGAAATTATCTGGGTTGACAAAGTCTAGACTAAATGCAGGTGTAATTCTTTTAAGACATTAATGTTTGTTTATGAAGGGACAGTATCTCACAGGACTACCAAAGGGACCATGAGAAGTAAACGGAATTGTAGCAAGGGGCATTTCTACTGCAAAACAGATTATCTACATGAGATGTGCAGCTGAGAACCAGAATAAACCATGTGGAGAGGTGGGGAAACCTCCATTGCTTGGGCATCTGAAGAGTATCTTTGTGTTTGTAAGGGTTGGGTAAGGTCTGTTTGGTCCAGCTCATGGCAGCTACAAAGACTAGGTGAGCTACTGCAGTTCCTGCACTGGAATCCCTCATCCATTTGCACTGACAGTTACGGTTTCATGGGTCATACTGCCTGTGAGAACTTAGGCTTTTAGAGGAGCACTGCTGGAGAAGTATGGACTTACTAAAGTGTGTTCTTACTAAGAATGAAGTTGCTGGTGCTATTTTGCATGCTAGCAAATAAAATAAAAAAGTGCTAATATAGTGGGACTGCTCTGTTCTCATTAACACTGCTGCAGACCTTTTTTTCTTAAGCATGTTATTGGGGATTTCCTGTTTGTTTTTAATGAGGGAGGCAAGGCCTTACTGCAGTGTCTTGCAGGTGTCTCATTAGTTAAGAGGCACACGAATGTACAGGTTTACTGCAGGTTTTCAGTTGATTGGGAGACTCCTGAAATCTTTCTTGGTGACTTTCAGAAACTTACAGAAGAGAAGTATCTTGTGGAGGAGCATGTAAATGAGGCAGCTATTGTTATTCGTAACACAAAGGAGCCCAAGCTGACTTTGAAGGTGATACTTACATCCCCTCTCATTCGAGATGAAGCAGAGAAGAAGGAAGGAGGTACAGAGAGCATTTTCACTTGGTTTTAAGACTGTTCTATCAAATGCCCTAACTGTGCAGCGCAGGGTGAATTGGGAAGCAGCTTTTTAATTGTACATCATATACTAACTGGACTGGCTACTGCCACCACAGGTTACACTATTTGTGCCTTAAAAAGCCACAGTCACTTTATTTCCATGTAAATATGCATCGTTTTCATATGCAAGCAATATTGCTCAGTGTTAACCTGGACATACAATTAGATCCGAGTTCTTTTGCTCAGCCTTGTTGACTCTTGAGCACCCAGAGCTGCACAGTCTCATTTTCAGATTTAAGTCAGTCAAGTGGGATTGGCTGGTAATTGTCTTGATAAAACTTATAAAAAATGTTTCTCTTTTTATGTAAAACCTCTTCTCCTGCAAAGCTTACCAGTGTGTCATCCTGGCCCTCAAGTTTTATTAGTTGATGATACAACGTGTGTGTTTTGATCTTTAATGATTTCCTCACTGGGATACAATTGAAGTTACAGTGCATTGAATGTTGTACCTCATGTCCTTAGAGCAAAATAGAAATAGAAAACTGTATCGTAGTTTCTTTCTGTTCCTTTTCCTGACCTTTCCACTGTAGTTCCATGCCCCTTGTTAAAGGAATGCTGACTGGTAGTACCGATGAGGTTGGAACCAACGGAGAGAAACAGAGGAGAGCAAACGTAGCCAGATTTTTGACTTATTTTAAAATTCTTGTCAGTAATTTCTGCTTCCGCTTCCCAAACCTGTCCCTAGAAACTTTGCCACTGGATGATGTCAGACCTTTGACCAACTGGCCACTCTCTGTCATGACAACTGAGGCAGCTGGGCCCGCCTGGGCGAGGGAACTCCCTGTCGCTCCTCTCCCATTTCTAGACTTGCCACAAATCCTTTGCTTCCTCCTTCTCCCACTGAAATACCGGCACAGTGAGGAACACTGGTCAGTTTCTCCTGGATTCTGTTGGAGGCGATGGCAGGAGGGATCCTCCTCAGTTGAAACAAACGCTCAGTTGGATGCACAAAAACCTTACGAAACAGATGAATGGCAATGGGTCCCTAACTGCAATGTCTGCTCACTCTCAAATTAGCAACCATGCTCTTTTGCGAGACCAGTAAAAATAAACCACACATCACTTGAGCTGTTCTTCAGCTTCTCATAAGATGCTGAGCTCAGCCCTGCAGTAGTTGCAGCTGATTCATGTTACTGGGAAGGAGCACGAAGTGCAGAACACACTTTAATGGCAAAGGTTTTGTAATTTTCTCCCAAGGGGAAGCACAAAGGCTTCCATCCAAGAATCTTCTTGCAAGAAGTAATTCTGCTGTGGCATTAACTGTTGGGCCTCCTGAATTTCTGAATGGGATTTTTATGCTTCCTGGTGTTTAAAATTTAGGTGTTCTATTTTCAAAATCTGAAAATATTTTTCAAAATTCTGTACTAGTTTTTCAAAATCTTAAAATGGTTTCACTGCTCTCGGAGCAGTGTCACTGCCATTCTGCGAAGTTGCTGAGGATAGCTAATGGATCTGGTTTTAAAGCCCAGGTTCTTTGACACTGATTCATCACAAGTGAAGAGAAACATGTATCATGTTCCCTTTCAGAGGTATGTGCAGTGTGATGTAGATTTCAGTGAACTGAAAGGGGGAGATAACTTTTTCATAGTATTTCCAACCATACGTAGGTCACTTTCACTTAGATTCAAGCCACAAAAACTTGGTATCTAATATCAAGAGCAAATACTCAGAGAAACTGTATATTTGAAAATACACGGATCTCCAAAAGTGTCCTGCCCCTGACTAACGCCAGCCGAATGTAACTATACTTTCTATATGGGTTTTGAGTGTATTCCATACATTCTTCTGACTGGAGGAGCTCAGAACACTTGCCAGTGGCCTTTCATCTCCCATGGGAAACTGACCAAGGTTTCAGGTTCGGTGTGCCTGGCACTAATCTGTCCTCTAACCAGCGCGGCAAGGTTAGGCGCAACGGACCGCGGTACCGGTGCTCCCATGTGTTCTGTAGGAATGCTGTGTGTGCCTTCATGCCCTGATGTCAGAATGTATTGAAAAACATTCCTGGATTTCTCTTCAGTCCCCACCTCTTTGGAAGAGTGTTCATGTTTAATATGTGGTGTTTGTCCTATTTGTTTTTGCTGCTTGTTAGCAAAAACAAATAGTGGACCAGTGTGTGTGTGCATCTCGGTGTTCTCACAAATGGCTACCCATAAAGCTCTGCTTTCTCATGTCAACTTGAGAAGTCAAGCACCTAAAATTTCTACATTTTTGCATTAGTTTAAATTCTAAACTTCTTAAGAAATTGAATTTTAGTCATAATATCAAATATAAACTGGGTTTTCCAGACCAGAACCTTGTCGCTTGCAAAATCAGTTGTTGCTACCAAGTGTACAGCAACAACAAGCTCATGTAACAATAAACAAGTTCATTTACCAAAGTGGGGCAGAAATCAACAGTCAACAACCAGTCCCTGCTGCAGCCTTTGATGGGCAGATGAGGCCAGTGAACACTCCCAAGGTACCCAGTGCCTTTGAAAGGGCAATGAGCCCCAGAGTTACCTTGCCCCCACAGAGAAGACAACGCTCCTCAAGTGGCCAGCAGTGAACAAATGAAGTTAGCAGCTGCTGTGTGAAGAGAACACGTACAGTGCATGGGGAGAGAACCACTGGTTCTGTGTTGCACAGTGCAAGCTAATGTCAGGGCTTTGTTATTAACTGTTTATTAAACTTCTTGTATTGATGCCCCTGTTAAAAGCACAAGGGAAAAAGTTTTGCAAACACATTTGAAAAGTTTGATTGGGTCTCACTTTCCTGACTGGCAGAGCATGAAGAAACATGCCATTCTCCCGAGGGGGTCAAAGGGAGCCTGCTGCAAGCCGCTCGCCCTCTCCACTGCCTGTCCTCCTCATCTTTCTGTTTAATGGAATCTTGCACCCCAAAGTTGGCTGACTGCAACATCTGTGCCAGGTGCTCAGGACATCAGCACTGGATCAGTAATTGGCAAAGTTCTCCAAGGGATTTGTAATTTAGACCTTTGGAAATAACCTTAATCCTGTAGGCGAGAGTATGATCCTAACTTGTTGAAACAAATCTTGTGAGGTTTTTCGTTCACCTGAATGGCAAATGGCAAATATTCTGTTTACGTTTTGTAGTTTAAAGGAAAAATTAACATACTTTTGTTAATGGCTGCAATACACTTTGGCAAAGGCTTGTACTGAGTAAAACTCCCTGGGCAGTTAAAGATCCAGTTCATTGCAAAAAATGAATGATTTTGCAATCAGTCACCTTTGCCATTTCTAACGTTTTAAAATAAGATTCTGATCATTCATTGACAGTACTTGTTTTATACAATACATGAGCTTTAAGCAGATGTTTATATTGTCCACCATAAAGTTTTCTTATAGAAATACTCAGACATACATTCAGTAATTGTGTGCCACAAACCACTGCTCCTAAAAATGACAGAATTGTAAAGGAAATTTGAAAGCAAACCTTGTGTTCCAAAGTGACCTTTTGTGCCCACAGAAATCCAGTGCTTTGGGACTTTGAAGCTTTTGTTTGCAAAACAGGCAAAAGGGGTGATTAATCCCTGTATTTTAACATGGTTGATAAGGGCAACAGGAAACAATGCAAATATCTGCTGCGAAGTTCACTGGGGTTAGAAAATAAGCTTATAGCACTTGAGTCTTCTGCAGCCATGAACTGTTTGACAAGAGACCTGGTTCTGTTCAGCTTTACACTGGTTCTTTTCTTTGTCTTTGGGCTCTTTTATCCATCATAACAGAATGTGCTTTTACCAGAGTAACCTGCCCACTGAGCAGCACAGGAGGTGGAAGCAACTTCCAACATGAAAGATTCAATTGCACATGCAACCAAATCTATCCAAAGTAACCTACAGAATGTACTTTGGGATGTTATTAATAAATTGTACAAACTGTCAGTTTCTCCTAATGTGTCCTAACGTTTTAAATGTCTTAACTGGAGTCTGCTGATCTAGCACGGCCTTCAGTTTGGATTTGGTGTACTTCATTCAGACCTGTGCAAGGGTCTCAGGACCTGGAGTTAACTGTCCATTAAGAGTAATGAAAATACTATCTTTCCAAATTACTTATTTTGAAACAAAGAGTAATTCTGCATTCATAGGAAAATAACATATTCAGGGTTTTAGTTGAGCCATGAATTCATTCCGTTCTTCTAGTATGTTGTTCTCATGTCAGCTAAAAAATAAAATCTTTTAAATCTGATTTCACAGATAGGAAAAACCTTTGTGCAGGGTTTCCAGAGAATCTGGACACTAGTAACTCCTTACGATGGAGAAGAAATTAGAGAAGAAAGGATGCATAATGTCCCTTGTTACAGAATAGGATGTGACTGCTAAAAGCAGCTTGTTGCATGCTGGATAAAACAATGGAGGGGAAAAAAAACCAAAAGAAGAAACCAGTGTAAACCTGCACAGAAGATTTGGGTGTCTTGTTTCTCAGAGCCTCCTTTGCATTTCCTCACTGATTTCAGTTGCTGTTGGGAAGGGAAGGTTTTTACACGAGGGGACCTCCTCTCTAATGCATTAAGAATCTGGGAGTTACCAAACTCACTTCTTTCATATGTTCTGGTTATATGAAAGACTGAGCAAACTGAAATATCTTACCAGCATTTCTTGTGTATTTCTTTCACTGAATTGTACTGGCTGGTACTGTTCATGCAATATTATTTCAAATATAGTCTACGTTTTTCTTTGGAATTCTCAATTACTTTATGGACATTAACTTCACTTTCTAATATTACAAATTTTTTATTATTCCCCCCAAGAATATCTCCCTCTTGTCAAAAGTTCATCTCTCTGAAATTCTGTGCCACCTTTGTGGAATAAAAGTCACGAAGAAGGGCAAGAAGAGTTAAAAAGCCCAATACAACCCAACACACACACAAAAAAAGAAAGTGCTATATAGCTATTTTCTGCCCTGAAATGTGTTCTACATTCTTAATAAGATCCCAGATTGTCTGTAGCAGTGGCCATCTTTATTATTACTATTATTTTACATGGAGTGAATGCCTTTGCTTCTGTTGCACACGTGCACATTTACTACCTTTAATGGCTTGTTTAAATTAAATAACACAGTGCACTTAAATTCTGGGAGTCTTATTATCTCATTGAGATGCTGCCGCTCTTTTTGTATTGTGACAGAAACCCCTTGGTCAAATTGTATCTGTCTCTTTTTATCCCATTTTTACCAGTAGACAATGTTGCGATGAAAGATCCTCCGGACTTATTGGACAGGCAGAAATGCCTGGAGGCCTTGGCGTCTCTGCGGCACGCCAAATGGTTTCAGGTTGGCTATTTGTTCTTACCTTGTTGTTATTGTAGCCTTACGAGGTTTAATTTGAGACAGTTTTAACTTGAATGCCTCTTTGACTTCTCACTATAGTCCCTCATAGAGGAAAGGTCTAGAATTCAGAATTCAGTGCTGTACTGTGCAAGGGCAAAGGTGACAGGTAGACAGCCACCTGGTTGAGAGGTGTCATGAGGCTACAAAAGCAATCTTGACATTTTGCTTCCTTTTTTATATATCTCTCTAAATTGAAGTATTTTATATAACTTTTTATTTTGCATGAAGCTGATTAAGTATTAAGTAATAATAATTAAAGAATCTATCCCAGGACTCTGTGCATTTAAAAAGAAAAACAAAACTGAAGGCCAGGTTTTTGCAGGTGTATTGGAATCATTTTGTTTGTTTTAGGCCAGGGCAAATGGACTAAAATCATGTGTAATTGTCCTTCGTATTCTGCGGGATTTGTGCAACAGAGTCCCCACATGGGCACCACTGAAAGGATGGGTAAGTACAGAAAGAGCTGAAGGCCACGAGGTCAGGTCTCAGATCTCCTGAGACCTGTAGCAGTGTCTGGATTGGAGGAAACGGTGCAATGTGTGAAACTCCTCCTTAACCCCCCTTCCGTTTGCTCCCCACTAACCATAACCTGTGTAGAAAAGTGCTTGTAGGTACCAATGAATGTATTTGTTCAGTCTAGAGAGAGACTTAATACTGTGGACCTTGTGCATCCTCAAGGATTTGCAGTAGAATCCCACTTGCTGCCTCCCAAATTTAGCTTTTCAAAATACCTTGTGACAGGGCTGCTCCTCCTGGAGGTTACTGATCCACCTTAGTGTGTTTGGGGAGGGCTGAGTGCCCTGCATACCTGTAGAGAAGCAGTCGGCAGGTCCTGGAGGCAGGAGAACTGATGACCCTGTGACAGCATTGAGGTGGCTTTAAAAGCTCCTACTTTTAGACTTCCTGGGCAGTCAATGGAGAGCAGCCGGCTTCTGCAAAAGGTGACTCAAGAGCAGGGAACAAACAGATGTGTCATGAGCTGTCCTCTGGGGATGGCTCTGTCCCTTAGACCTGTAGTGGGTTACAAATTAAGTAAACCAATGAGAATGTCCTTCCACTGTGCCCTTCCGTATTTAACTGCAGTTACAGTTACCCTTGTGTCCATACTAATCGTAATTTAATGTTTTCTAGCCACTCGAGCTTATATGTGAAAAATCTATAGGTACTTGTAATAGACCTCTGGGCGCTGGGGAAGCATTGCGACGAGTGATGGAGTGCTTGGCATCTGGAATTCTGCTTCCTGGTAAGGGGCTAAAAATGAACTTCAGGAACACAGAGGGTTGACCAGACAGCCTTAACATCTGGTGTTGCTGTGAAAAATGCCTGCCCTGAACTCCTAACCTGCAGTGGGGCTAAAAAAAAAAAAAGGAAGTTGCCTGGCTGTAACTGAGTGCTTCCAAGCAGTAGAAGTTAATGGGGAATGTTAAATTTGTTTCTGAATTAACCCCTATCTTATTAAGGGGTTGCAAAAAAATGGTCAGATTTAATGACCGTCTGTTTCCTGTAGATTCACTGAAATATATATAGGTATCAAAAATATTTGGTTTGCTGTTTTTTTTTAATTCATACTATTACACACAATCATTGATAACCCTGGTAAATTCTGTGGCCATTGCTGCAAGGGAGTAAAATCCTGAGGCTAGCTTGCATTGTAGGATGAGAGAATCCCTTGCTTCCTACTCTGCTGAAGGCAGACTGCTGCAATATCCCTCAGTCCCCATTTTCATATTGCTTCTGTTGCAATATCCCCCAGCCCCCATTTTCATATTGCTTCTCATTTACTGTCAGTAATCTGCTTTGCCTCTCTCCCTCCTAGGAGGCCCTGGTCTGCATGACCCCTGTGAACGGGAGCCAACAGATGCTCTGTCATATATGACAGTTCAGCAAAAAGAAGCCATTACGCACAGTGCGCAGGTAGAAACCTCGTACATCTGAGCTGGGCATGGTAACAGGGAGGATTTCACTTCATTAAGACAATTTGTTCCCTGCCAGGACAGCTGATTTTATTGGCAGTCCTGACAGTTCTTCCAGTACACTACCTGGGAATGATTACATGATAGTTCGTGAGTGCAAGAGTTAAATATGTGTTAAATCTAATCCTTAACAAAACGCAGTCTAGTGTCTGTGCTGCTTCCATGCCACCTCAAGTGCTTACAGCACACAGCCCTTGTGTAGGCTCCTTGTCCATGTGCACTGCACTTTCTATTGCAGAAATTAATGAGTTTTAAATGTTTAGGCATTAGTATTTTCTGTAGCTATCACAGAAGATAGGTGGAGAAACTCTCTTCCCATAGCAGAAGTGGTTTTGCGTAGACAAAACTTATTTAGAAGCTTAAAACAACCAAGGTAACGTAGTGCTATAAAGTAACTTACTTTTCTACTGTCACTTCATAGCATGCCCTCAGATTATCAGCCTTTGGTCAGATCTATAAGGTTTTGGAAATGGACCCCCTCCCATCAAATAAGTCCTTTCAGAAATATTCCTGGTCAGTAACTGACAAAGAAGGTAGGTGCTGTTTGGTTCAAAAATCTCTAATTGGGCAGTAAACTAAGGGTTGGCTTAGATGGGTGAAATTCCTGGGTTATGAGCTGTGAATGCAAGGGGAAGGCTTTTCTTTCTGTTAAATGTGATTTGGGGTTGGAATTTGGGTGAGGTTTTTTTGATTTGGGGGATTGGGGTTTTTTAAATATTTAATTATTAGAAGCCAATCTGTAGGAGCAGCAATACAGCTATAAAATAGAGCTGATGATCTGCTTTAAGCAGTAAGGCCCTTGGGGTCTGAAGAGTAAAAGTAGTGTTTATGATTCTTATGCTGGGGAAGCAGAGACCATCAAAAAGCATGGAACGAGTGTCCACAATAAGAATTACTGGAGAATTCTTCCTAGCAAACAATATACATGTGATACAAATAAATTTTCTCGTGTATTTTTGTAAAAACATTATTAGTAGAGTTCTTGCCTTAGATTAACTGTAAAAAAAAACACAACACTGCAGATTTACATCACTCATATCACACAACACTGGAAACAGACATCCTGCATGCCATGCTACAGTGAGCTGATACTGGCTTACATGTAGCTGTAAAAAAGTTTTGACTGATGGCTGAGTTCTTTTCGTTATAAACATGTAAGGAACAACATGGGACTAATCAGATTCCTGCTGTGGAATTTTGTTTTTCAATAGCAAATCCATATTACAAGGAAATTTATACCGTAGGTACAGGCTCCTCTGCTCTTAAGAGGCCATTTGAAGATACTGTCGGGGATGATAAAGATCCAAATAAAAAGATGAAGCGTAATCTGAGGAAAAGTAAGTGTAATGCTTCTCCATTCTGTTTCCAAAGATCTATTGTATGGTAGGAGCTGGTTTAAAAGCTTCTCTGTGTTGGTGTGGAATAGCATGTGAAAAAGTCTTTGGAACAACAAATGTTGTCTCTATCACCCTGCATTTGGAATGTCAAACACATCTCTTATTGTGCATCTGATTTCCCCTGACATGTTTTACTAACTGAATGATTTGCATTTTTAAATGGGATTACCCATAAAGTTACAGTGAAATTGAAGTTGTCCAAGCACCCGAGGTGATTTACTGATAATGTCCCTGTATTGTGGGTGGGTTTTTTTGGTTTGGTTTGGTTCCCCCCCCCCCCCCCCCGATACTGCAGTGACTGCTGTGTGGAGATTTGCCTTTTTGCAGTCTTCCCCTTTTTGAGTTAGTTGTTGGCCTCTCAGCACCTCCCCTAAGAACAATAAAATGCTTAATCTACAGCACACTGACACTGCATGTGCACAGACTGAAGTCCCTCAGCCCTGTTGGGATCTAGCCGGTTCTGGGAGCTGTTTTCATTGTGCTACTTTGGTGCCAGTTCTGGATCTCACTACCTATAAAACTTGTTACTTCTTTACAGCAGCTGGGAAGGCTGTGGCTATAGCTGCAAAAGAACTGTGTCAACAGTATTAAAACTTGGGTAATTATAGTCATTACCCCAAAGTAGAATGGCTTAGTAAAGACTTAACAGCCTTATGACCTCTGAGAGGCTGAGGGGTTATTTTGCTCCTTTCTACAGAAGGAAGGCACTGAAATGCAAACTGTTTTCATTTGTTGTTCATCTTGTTTTGTTCATTTTCCTTCCCCCCTCCTTCCCATCCCCTTTCTACTATCTTGTACTAGTACTAGATAGTAAAGCAATAGATCTCATGAATGCTCTGATGAGGCTGAACCAAATCAGGCCAGGGCTTCAGTATAAGCTGCTGTCACAGTCTGGTCCAGTCCATGCCCCAGTCTTCACAATGTCTGTAGATGTTGATGGTACAACATACGAAGCATCAGGACCTTCTAAGAAAACAGCCAAGCTCCATGTGGCAGTGAAGGTAAGGCAGCCTGAAGTAATCTGCTAATCCAGGTCTTGGAACAGAGAGTATGAAATATGGTCAGAACTAGTAATATGTGACCTCAAAATTAAAAAGAATATTAGATAAAGCTGAGCTACTACCTGTGTACTGTAAACACAGTTGGGCATGGCTCAAAGAGCATCACTGGTTTATCCTAGCAGTGGGGAGGGAGAACTTCCCAGGGCTCTGCAGGTCAGCCCATGTAAGTTCTGGTCTGGGGGGGTTCAGTTTTGTTCTGTTCTACTCCTTCCTCCTGCTGGTTTGAAAATGGCATGTTGGCTCCCTCTTTCTCCCCTTTCTTCTGTGTGTTTATTCCTGGGTTGTGAGCTCCTGGAAATATGGAGTTGTTTCAGTCTTCAGTGTTTGAAGAGTACCTTTACACACTGGGGTGGACAGTGTACACCAATGTAAATTATTGGTCTCCACTCAGTTTTCTAGAAGACATTAGTATCATTCAGGGACCAGTCAACCTACTGTTACTTCTTGTAGGTGCTTTGTGTGACAGAGCTTAACTCTGTAGAGCAGTGACAAACTGGAGCACCCAACATAAACATCCTTGTGTTGCATGAGGGCAGTTCAGACAGCTAAAGGAGACAGTCTGCTGGGTTTCTGGGAAGGAAGTTTCCTACAGACAGTGCAGGGTACTGAGGGATCTGGCAAAGTGCTCAGTGATCCATGTTCCATTATTTATCATCAGTCCTTGCTCACTGGGCAGCTCCCAGTGGACTGGAAGCTGGCAAACACGATACCCATCTACGAGCCTTGGCAGTGCTGGGTTAATGGTTGGACTCAAAGATCTTAAAGGTCTTTTCCAACCTGAGCGACTCTAGGAAAGAAAACCGCTTTTAATACAACTGCACTTATGACAGGAACAAGCCCATCTGTCATTCTGTGCTGCGTTTTGTTTCGAACAAGAATTTCCTTTTTAGAAGCTTCATCTGGCAACTTTCTGCTTTCCTTTGATTTCAGTTTTGAAAATCCCATTGTCCCATGTGCTTTCAAGTTCAAAGCGTCCAGAAATATCTGAGGGAATCTGTTGTTCCTCCAGGAAAAGTAGCTCTCTGCATGTGTGTCCTCCCAGACCTTCTGCTTCAGTCTTTTATTTTGCCTCCCTCCCTGCAGTTAACAAAAAAACCCAAGTAATACAAACTTGCCCTGAAAAGCTGTGACTCCTCTGCCCTTGAACCCATCTGCGTCAGCCTGATCCGTGCTGGTGCCTGCCCAGCTCTGTTTTCTCTACATCTACACATACACAAATCCTGGGCTACACTTCAAAATAAGCCATGATTCAAGCCAAGAGGAAATGGGTGGTGTGGTAGAGACGAGTTTTTTTTTTTCCCTTTCTTTCTTGTTTTTTCGTAGCAGATCCGGGCCCCACTTTCCCAGACATATAAGAGGGAATAATTCTAGATCTGACCTTTTTGACTTCTAGAAGCCCTGAAAATGCAGCCAAAATGTACCACAGCTGTTTCAGGAAGAGTTTTCCCCATTGCTATGGTGGTTTTCTATGTTTCAACACAGGAGAAAATGTATTTCTGAGCAATCTGCCTTAATCCGTTCTTTTATGTTGTGATCAGCTCTGTATTTATTTCTGTGCTATTTTACAGTTCATGTCATGTGGCTCTGTTGTAGGTTCTACAAGCCATGGGGTACCCAACTGGTTTTGATGCAGACGTGGAGTGTATGAGTTCCGATGAAAAATCAGATACTGAAGGTAAAAGTGAAACAACATCTTCAGTCTCAAGCAATAATACTGGAAATTCCACAGCTGACACCTCCGCTACCCTAGAGGTGAGGACTGCATTAGAAAGAAATCTCTGCTCCCGTAAGAGGATGGCGTTTTGTTTAGGGTTGTGGGTGAGGAATTAATAAGAGTTTCCAGGCTCAAATCTGCCAGTGGCTTTGTGTCACTGTAGACAAATAACCAATCTTTGTGCCTCCTTTCCTCAGGTTTAAGGGGGATGTAGCAATCCTGACCTCCTACGACCAGAAATTCTTGAAGGCAGGGGTTGTCTCTTGTAGTTAGTTTATGTATGGTCTGGTGACTGTGGTGGCTCCATCCTGCCTATTGCCTTTGGGCTGTAGTGATGCAAATGTCACCATTTCCATTTTTCAGTAGGGGGTTGTCAGAAAGGTGTATTTACACAGTGTTTTAAACTGATACACACAAAGACCAATGAAAGTAGAAAAATTCATGAGGAGGTGTTAAGAAATCTGAGACCTAAGCAGGGGGAAGGTTGTGCTGTAAATATAAGTAATTGTTCTGTTCTTTGAATACTTGTCAAGATGTTAAAACATTAATTTTTTCAGTTGGAAGCCACCTCATTTCCATATGGTGTGTAGTCAATTCACAGATGTATTTGGTTCACTGAGACATATTCAGGGAAAGGAAATGGGGGTATCTTACACTCCACAAACTTCCCTATTAATTTTCCTTTAAAATTAATTTGATTTTATCACAAAAAATGGGTAGTATTTCAAGATGACTAAGGTATTTCCCACACTGCACGACTTTGGGTTTCCATGTTTGAGACATTTCACTTTCAAAGGGCAGGTCCCAGCACTAGGACTCTTGATCTTCATCCAAAATAAGAAGTTGCTTTGGCAAACACTGCTTTGATCCCTTAATCTTTTTCTTCCTTAGTGAGCAATCATTTGTATCTGTCGCTGAGTGCATTCTAATCCAGGCTGATATGCCAGTGTGCTGAGATCGCAGCTTCACCTTCCTTGCTTCCCAAACAGCTACAGATATTTCTGCTGAAACATGTGACCCAAGAGATCAGACTTCTCCAGTCTCAGCTCAGTAGTGCCAGGACGGAATTAGCCCCAGTAGCAGAGCTGTGTGCGAGGCTGATCTCTCTTTTCAGTGATAAAGCCTTCAATTCCAAGGAACTGTGGCCTCAGCTTCAGCTTTGGATGCTCTCAGGGTTGGAATTCCAAGTGCAGCTGGTGTAACTTTGTGTGGACACCAGACCAGGCCATAAGGACAGTAGCTTAACAGTAGAAATAGAGAGGTGTAACTTCTTTTGCAGTATTGTTTGTCCCCCTGCCACTGTTTAGAGAAGAGACTCTCCATCTGCTGTTGCAGCACAGATGTTATACTGAAGTCACAGCAGTGTTGCCTTTGATACAGCTCTGTACCTGGGAAGTGGCCTAGGGCTGAATGTTGGTAAGGACAAGCTATCAGAGGGCTTGTCAGTGATAATGCTGCCTTTCTCCAAGTGGCTATGTGGCACTGTCAGCCACCAAGCTGTAGATGTTTGTTTGCCTTTCAAAGAGATAAAGGCTCTAAAGCAGCACTGTAACTGTCTCTCTAGGTAAGAACTCAGGGTCCTATACTCACAGCAAGTGGCAAAAACCCGGTGATGGAGCTCAATGAAAAAAGAAGAGGTCTGAAGTATGAGCTCATCTCCGAGACAGGTGGAAGCCATGACAAGCGCTTTGTGATGGAGGTGAGTGAAGCAGAGTTACAGGGTTGGTGGATTCTGACAGCCCCAGACTACATCATGTCTTGACGTGAGGAGGAGGAGGGGAGTGAAATTGCAGCTATCATTTCCAAGTTCCCAATATGTGCGATATCCTGGTTCACAGGATCACTTAAGTGTTCTTTATCAGCTTCATCATCTAGAAGCAATGGAAACTGTCATATAAAACACTGAGGATATTTTTGTTTTTTTATGAGAGTTCTTTATGGGTGGCACAAGTGGGTGTATCATGATGTTCCTAAGGACAAACACTAGGTGTAAACCCATGTCTTGATTTTCAGGTAGAAGTAGATGGGCAGAAGTTCAGAGGCGCAGGCCCAAATAAGAAAGTAGCAAAAGCAAGTGCTGCATTAGCAGCACTTGAAAAACTGTTTTCTGGGCCTAATGCAGCAAACAACAAGAAAAAGAAGATTATTCCTCAGGTAAGAATTGTAATTTGCTTTTAGGACCACACTGCTATCACAGCTCTGGGCTGTTTGATGATACAGGAACTTCTACAAGGAAACAAGTGATTTGTCTCTTGTTTTATGCGCATGTGTAAGGTTTCTATTTTTATTCTTCTATAATTATTGTAGAGTAACAATATAATCTGATAGTTAGAACCATATTGTGGGAAATAGAGTTTAAAAGGAGGCCCAAAGAAAGAAAGGTGCTGATTAACTAGAGGAGATATAGTAAGATCAGCAGTTCAGTGAGGATGTGGAAGTCTTTTGTGTGTCAGGCCAGAGCATCTCCTGCATCATGTGAGATGCGTAGATTTCAGGGAGGGTCATTTCTAGCCAGGTAGAGGCCTCGTAAGGTAGTGGGAAGCCAGCAGAGACAGAACAGAGAAAGGGTCAGAAGCCACCAGTGTTTGTTCATGACCAGGCTGGAGGAAAATAACGCTTAGTGAAGCGAACGTGCTGGGCTCAGTGTGCAGGGCTGGGCACTGCACGCAGGGACCTGCTCACTTGGTTCCTGTCAGACTCATTCTCAGGACAGCGCTTCTTCTGTCTGAATTCTGCCTTTAGCAAGACTGGTGCACTGAGCATGTTTAAAGAGATGTTTTTAAAGGTAGCGATTTAATGCAGGTGGCCTTTCTATTTCCAGCAACACCTTCACTTTCTGAATTGCTCTTTTTCATTACTCCGGGCAGACTAAAGGGGTCGTCAGTACAGCTGTTTCTGCAGCAGTCCAGGCTGTTCGAGGCAGAGGACGAGGTGCTTTAACACGAGGAGCATTTGTTGGAGCAGCTGCTGCTACTGGCTACATAACACCAGGTAAGGCATGACACTGATATCCAATGACAAAAGATACACAGAAGAAAATGTCAATGAAATGTTCCCTTTGTGGTTCCCCTTACTTTCCAAAGTGTGCGTTGTTCTTTGTGACTCTACATGTCTGAGGCTTGTAGGTGGCATGTGAAGGGAATCTAGACATTGTGTTTACTTGCAATAAGAACCACAGATTTTCTAAGAATGAGATGCTGGCAATTCCTTTGTCAAAGTAAATCCAGTAGCTTCCAAAAACTAAAACTTCATTCCTCATGCTCAGGTTTCTGGATTACAGCATGAGCTTAATTGTAGCCTTTGGCAGTTCACATGTACTGATAGCACAGCCCTGCTGTTCAGTAGACTTGCTTCCTGGCACAGTCGACAGCACATCGCCTTATTGTTCCTGTATGTTCATATGATTATAAATATTAAAACCCAGTAATTCATTTTTAATGGCTGTTAACATTGGTTTTGGAACTGTCTTTCTGCCTGAGGAGTCATTTATGAGACACTTTAACCTGCCAGGGGCATGCTTCTTGCCAGCGTGGAATTACTCCAGAAAGAAGTTTAATTTCCCAGTCGCTGGAGTTGTTAAGCTTTTATTGGCCTTGGCCTTCACAGATTATTTCTCTTCATCCCCAGTTTTTCTCAGAAATCTCTTGCTTTCTGTAATGGACACATGCAATCACACAAGAAAAACCCCTGTAAAGTGTTCATGAACTACTGAGATACAGTAACCAAGACACATGTTACCACTCCTTCCTTTTGTCTCATTCCAGTCATGCTTAGCTCTTTGGGAAAAAAGGCTGCTGCTGTTTGCCTCTAAGTATTCAGCTGCCCTTTGTGAAACTTACTGTTGGAAATGACAATTCACTGGAATTCACAGGAGCTTTCCTGAGGTGCTGTGGTACCTGCATCAAGCATCGAGCATTTTCTAATGGAAGCTGAGGAAAATGGCTGTTCCCTGTACTTGACTGCATATGTAGTTTAGGGTATTTTTTTATCAGCAAATAGGGATGTTTGGGTCATGCCAGCTCTGACAGTGCAGACTTGAGGGCTTCAGCTGCAAGACAGTGCTAAGGAAAAGAAATACAGCATTTAACTGATGCTGAGGCTTAAGAAGGTCATGGGGAGGAGGCTTGTTCTTCAAGCCAAAATGCAGGATGTGAATGTTCTCAGCAATATTTTTATGTATCAGTGCTTGGGTTTTTTGTGGTCCTGCTTCACATCCCAGTAGGGGTCCCTCCCTGTGTGTTGGTGTGCAAACACTGATCAGTTATGGGAGGAAATGAAACCCGCTCCTTCTGTGCTTGTGTTGCAGGCTACGGAGCACCGTATGGGTACAGTACAGCCGCACCAGCTTACGGTATGTATAGCCCAGTAATTAACACATTAGAAGTGATACTGAATCTGTTGTGCCAGTCCAAATGTGGCAGTCCAAGGAGAAAGTCAAAGAGATTCAAGCTCCTAAAACCATGACAACTACACCACTTTTATGCCATAACCTTGTGGTTCTTTTTTGGTTGGAGTAGCTTTTCTGCCTATGCTTTGCCTGATTCGTGGAAGGACTGCTTGTTCTAATTGCCTGTTCCCTTTCATACTGAAATTGAAGTAGTTCTCTTACTTTTTACAGCCAATCTGTGCTCCATTCAAAGACTACCGAAGGGCCTATTTCAGCATCTCTGTCCTGTGTTTACATAAATGGCATTACAGTAGCACTGGCAAAATGTTTGTCCCCAGGTGGCTTGTGGACAAAGCTCCCTTAAATGCCATCAACTCCATAAAGTTTATTTGTATATACCCCCACCCCGATGCCCCTGCAGGCTAAAACACTGCTGCTTGGGACAAGCAGAATGGGTTCTGTGTAGTTTGTTCTGTCAGCCATCCAGCCACAAGGAAGCTAGGATGTGGTTATTCATCACAATGCTTTTTACCAAGAACCACAGCGATACTAGGCTGGCAAAGCACTGCCTTCATCCAGACTATCAGAGAGCTATGAGGAAGGGTTTTTCTTAACTCAGCTTCTCCCTCCCCACTGGCTGTTCTTATGCTGGACTAACAATGCACACTTCTAACCGGCCCTTTTGGTTACTTTGAATGAGGTTTATGTGGCAATGGGAGCAAAGTCGTTTGGAGTCAGTGATACGTCCTGGCACACGGAGCAAGCCCTCTTGTGCAGGGACTGGGGGAAGCCCAGGATGTTTCCAGGCCTGCATTTTTCATATGGAAAACTAAGCCTGCAATTTGCTATCAATTTTCTGGCTTCTGTAGCATTTGGAGTACTGGTTCCTCTCAAATTTGTATAGTTTGGTCAACACCAACTCCCCTGATAGCATTATAAAAGTTAAAAATACTTTGAAACATAGATTTCTTGACTTTATTTTAGAGGTCTGAGCTATAAACAGGGGAGGAATGCTGCTGCTTTACTGAAAATGTTCACTGTGCTTGTCTAGGACCAATGGGTCCTACTGCACGCTGCTGCAGTGGGAAGGTAAGGGAGAACAGCCCCAGGGGCTGTGCTCACAGTGGGGGATTCTCCTTTCCAAAGTGAAGTTGACTTGTAGAACTCCTGCCCTACGGGCTGGGCAAGTGCTGTGACAGAACAGCAGCTGACAGTAGGGCTACCCCACTCAGCATTCTCTTGTGTTGCATTACACAAAGAACAACTACATGTTTTCTCAAGGAAAAATGAAAGGGCTTACTAAAATGAGTAAGATGATTTAGGGCGAAGATAAGGTATATCTGCATGTGTGTGTTTTTACAAGCAGCTATACAGAGTGATGTAAGAGGAACACAATTGTTACCAACTCTCCTTATAGCTTTTTGTGCCTTTCTCATTCATTCTGTTCTGTGTTTTTTCTCATGATGCCTATTTTGGGAGCTGGATTTTTATCACTTAGCTGTGTATGTGACATATCACTGACTTCAAAGCATTGTGGAATTGAATGCCCCCATTTTTCACATAAAGAGTTTCTGTTTTTAATGTCCTATGATTGTGATGCGAAGTCCTGGGATAATGCTTTTTGGCTGTAAGGTAAACTTGTCTCTTTGCCTTTGTAAGCTGTTGCATGTTGGGAAACTTCACTTTGATCATCTGGTGCTCTGGAATACCTGCTGTTGCTGCTTTGTGATTTCTAAATGGACACATAGGTTGAATACTAGAATTTAAATAGGCAAGATTTAAAAAACCAAATCACCATTTAATTATGCAGAAGTCTGCGAGGCCACAAGAACTCTCTAATAATAATGAAATCAGGCAGATATTAATCTTTCCAGATTTGCCACTTCAATACAGGAGAGGAAATGCAGATTAATGAAGCAGATGCAGCATTTACTGTAGGTGCTTGATTTCTGGCTGACCTACCTGGATGCTTATCAGAACTGCTGAACAGTTTCCCTGTGAGTTTGCTTTTACACACAGCAGTGCCTGTCTAGATTACCTGCATTTGTAACTGACCTGTGATATTAGCTCAGAACATAGGAGGAGATAGTAGAGTTTAGTTATCATAATGATTATGAAGCAGAGCTTCAAGTCCAACTGCATGCTCTGCTTTTGAGAGTATTGCTTATTTAAATATTACCAAACACCAGGACAAAAGCAAAGGTTAAGCTAACCATCTGTTTGAAATAGTGCCAGTGTCAAAGTGTTTCTGTTTGTGGGACTCTGCACCCTAAAACCACATTGATTGACTGATCTGGAAAAGGTTAATGAGAACACAACTGTACACTCTTATCTGACTTTCTTGGATCACTGAACTTATTTGGAGTCCTTTCCCTTTCTTTTCTCTGTAGGTTTACCCAAGAGAATGGTTCTGTTACCAGTTATGAAATTCCCAACTTATCCTGTTCCCCACTACTCATTCTTTTAGCAAATGGCAGAAGCTAATTCCCACTGATTGAACAACACAGTACAGTACAGAATGTTAGAAGAAAAAAAGCCTTTTTATCCTGTTTTCTTTGAACACATACTTGAGCAAAGTCATTTGTAAAGAAACATCTTTTTCCTACTTTTTGATTTTAACAAAATGCAAATTTAGTTCTCTAAAACTTGAAAAAAACAATGTTCTGTGAAATGTTACCTCATATTCAAATAACTTATACCAGCCTTCTGTTATAGGGAAGAACTAGAAGCTTAAATCTTACGTTTTAAATGAAGTATCCGATTATGTAAAATTAAATTTGTGAAGGATGTATAGAATATAAAACACTGATCACAAATAAACTGTTTTGTTGTAACACGAGAGTACTGCCTGTTTCCTCATGCAGTCACACAGATCCAGTTAATGACTGTACTTGTGGTAGGGTCATTAAATGCAGGGCAGAGTTCTTTAACAAATAAAAATAGAATAAAAAAACCCAAACCAAACCTCCACAATAGCAACTTTTCAGTTAACATTTAACTTTGTAAATACTATGGTGTGTAATAAACTTAGTAAAACATGGGCTAAAATATTGTTTTATCTTATTTTTTATAGTTAAGCATCAGTACCTGAGTTTCCTTTATAATCTTTAGATCAGCAAACTTTAACTGTGATTTCAGGCACAGTCTTAATTATCCGAGAAGGCTTTTCACTTGCACACACTGCAAAACAAGCAGAACAAAGGGAATTAAGCTCAGACTGTCTCTGCATTAGGTCGCATTCTGTGAAACAAGCACTAAACAAAGGAAGTTCCCACAAAAGAACTCTTGTACGTAATTCCAGGGACACACAGTTCAGTCCGTATTGCCCAGAGAAAGGACAACAATAATGTTACAATCAGGTTTTTCAGAGCTCAAAAGCTGCTTTTTTCCATTATTTTCTGTTTTTTAAAAAAATCCGAAAAAAAAGAAAAAACAAATTGCACTTGTTCTTGTGGCCTTCTTCACTTTACGATTGTCTGCCCACCCTTGATTTTTCCATCCACCATTTCTACAGAAAGCATTTTAGTTGTCAATCTTGTATTAAAACAAAGGCATCTCCTTTTCCCCCTTACATTTATAAGAATCTAAAGCAGCAACAAGGTCCCCATGAAAACTTGCTATTTAATTGTCCCAGTTCTTGTTGAGTGCTGCTGTGAAAAGTGACACACTTCAGCCATAGGCCAGTACTTTCTAAGAGCTGGTGCTCAAACCGAAAGACTCTGCTTCCCACCAAGGAGTGTGTGTTCCTGTCTGGAATTCCAGGACAGGTACCAACTCCGGGCTCTCTCCACCTGTTGTAGAGTTCTGCATAAACTCTGTGGGCTCTAACGAGGGATTCGAGTGGTCTTTATTAAGGTATCACCCCACAACATCAGCAGCGTTGTTGGTTGCACTTCTCAGGCCTCGCCTGTTGCTTTTCCGTAGGTTTGCTTTAGTTCATGCTCCTTTAAGGAATGCCTTCACACACTGGTTCTCTAACAGATGCTACTGCCGAGGCAGGGGGAGCTTTATAGATCAAGAGGGTGTTAAAAGCAGAGCTTAAAGTAGTGTAAAGTTCCTTCTCCCCTACACCCCCATTAGAGGGAAAGAAACAGTAGAAAAGCTTAAGGGGCAGCTTGTGCAATAGGCTGCTTTTCTGAGAATTAACTGAAGTACTTGTGCAGAGGAACGGGTTTGTATCTGAAATGGGTTTCCTTCTGCTGGAGCTCTCGCTTTCATTTGGTGTTGGTGGTACTTTAATAAAAAACGCAGCTCTATTGGCATGTGGTGGCAGCTGTTGTGCCACCAGCCCCAGGTAGTGCCGACACGGAGCAGGGCCTGGGGGGACGCGGTCAAATTGAGCAGTGCTCAGAAATCACCATGTACTTTTGCTGGCCTATGGATGAAAGGAAGCCATCACGGAGCAGAAAAAGCATGGCTGATAAGAGCCCATTTTTGTTAATCAAATATTCATTAAAGGAATTTTTCCTGTGCACACATTCTTTTCTCCCCACCCCTCTTCTGGAGTTCCCCTGATTGGCAACCATTTGTAGTTTCTTTTTTCCTTTTTTTTTAATCCCCCAGATTTGTTAAATTTCAAACCAAATCTTCTCTGAACCAATTCTATACAATGAACAGTCATCAGCCAAACGACTTGTTCCAATTTCAGAAACAAGGAGGGCGCTATGCTCTTTTCCAACATGATGGCAGTCATTTTCGATGATTTATAGAAGTCATTCTTTATTTTTTGTCATTTGTTGGGAGTTACTAACCACATTGTAAACTTGCCCCCTTGCTGCATATTTTACATTTCTCTGCTTTACTGAAATATGAATGAGCTGTCAGTTCTTTGTTTAGAAAGTGGTAATCTTGGAAGTGGTAGATGTTTCAATACCTTCAAAGAATTCAAAGTGCCCATTTTACAATGAAAATTCCACTTGCAGCTGAAAGAGCAGAGAAATTTAAATGGAGCTTCAGCTTCAGCTTCAGCCAGTCTCTTGGAAATTAACGTGGAGTTTTTGCTTCTCTGCTCTTCTCCCACTGTAGGTGGTTTTTTCATTGACAGTCCCTATTGCCAGCCTCTCAGCATCGCACCTTTTATTATTCACTTGGGCCCTCAAGATTTCTTCTCTGACTTCTAGAACCATCAGGTTGTGTGGCTCGAAATGGCATTTTGTACATGTCTTAAAAGCAAGAACAAACGTGGCTCGTTTTGAGGTTTCTCAACTTCAGACATGGAATCTGAGCTTTTTTCCTTTTTTTTTTTTTTTTAAAGTGTTTTTTCTCACTTCTTGAACTTTGTTCCATTTAATGAAAAGCAATACTTACTCCAAGCCACAGTCCTTTCTTTGGGTACATAGCAATAGATGTGTATATACTGCTGGGTATCTCTTTACAATAGAAGGGAAAGACTGGTGTGTTTGGGGGGGGAGGGAACCAAACACCAAACCAAGAACAGACCTTGCCGAGTGCCTGCTTGAAGCAGAATCCTGCGTTTGCTTTTGCTACTGAAGTACTTCAGAATTTTAATACTAGAACTGTATTTGCATGTTTCCTATAAAGATTGCTACAAGGACTTGCAATGGGCACTCTGCAGCAGTAGTGCTTTTTACCATTGCACATGTCAGCAGACATGAAATGTAGCAAAAAGGCAGGAGAAAAAAATAGAATATATATTTTTTCCAAAATCGAATTAAAATGATATATTCTCTCTCTCTCTTCCCCACATCATTAATATGAGGCACAAAAAGGGTAGGCCTGAACATGACTTTCAAATGGGTTGCTTTTGTGTCTCTTAAAATCATCACCAAATGATAGGAAAATACAGTATCTGGTAAACAGCCAGTTCAGAAAACTTCTGCTCTAAATTTATTTAGGTTTTTTCTTCTTAAGTGTTTGTATGTTGGTATTTTGGGACTGTGAATCAGCAATAACTGAAAGGTGAATGTTTTTAAATGGTATTGGAACATATATATGTTGCAGCTTAAGACTTCTAAGCAGTTTTCAGCAGGTTAATACCACTTTATTCTCATTCTCTCCGGACCTTCATAGCCATATGCACTTGTATAAAATAAGCAGAAATGTAGTGACTCTAAGCTGAGATCGTGATATAAAGGTAAGAGATTTTATTTTCAGCTTAAAGAATATTTTTATTGTGTTTTTCCTAAAAATCTCCTATACCTGTGACAATCTTGTATATGGCACGTGTTTATTATGTCTTGTTTAACTAAATGTTTGAACAGGTAATATCTAGGTCTGAATGCCAACTTTGTCTTTTTTCAAGGCCACTTCAAATACTCCCATTTAGTTAGAAAATATTACTTATTACTTTTAAAAAATTGATTTTATTAACAGACTGTTCTCCTTCAAGTATTTTTCTCTTGTGTAGCATAAAAAGCTGTATTGCTACTGCTGTGTCAGGCACTGCACTCCTTGCATACCTGTGGAAAACACTGGGTAGATACCAAAGCCACGGCCATGGCCTGCACTGAATCCACCCCCTGGTTATAGGTATGTGGAATGAAAATTAGAAGTGGCATGTGTGATACTATCTAACTAACAAGGAGAGAAATTAATTCCCTAAACTACTAGAGCTAACCTCCAAATAAAGAATGAAAGACTTTGATGATACTGCAGTTAAAATCTGCAGAGATCAAATGACATTAGGCCAAATTAATCCATGAAGCAGCCAGGTTTGCTTTCCTCCTGTGGGCGCAGTGGGAGGAGAGGAAGGCAGGCAGGCGGTGATTGCACTCGGCATGAATCATTTGCTGAGCCGTGGTTCTAAAGCTAGAAATCAGGATACAGCCATCCATAAATAACTGTGTTCGGTTCTGTAATAAATGTTTTAACAAGTATTTTACTTGGATTAAAATGGGTTTGGATTATGACCTATATGGTGCACACTCTATGTGTTTTACAGTAGTTTTAAAATACTGTTTTTTAATTTGCCTTTATATAACCTTCTGTTATGCAAAGTTGCACAGTGCAGTGCTGCACCACTGCAGTACCTGAAGTTGCTGGAAACAACTTTTTTTATATAAGAATGGTTTAATAAAAAAGCAAAAGGGAGGGAGTTGGTGATGCTGCATTAGCATTTTAGGGTCTCAGTTCAGAGATTAAAGTGTCTGAAACATCCGACTGATCACAGTTTATACTGATATAAAGCAAGAACACATTTGTTATAAATTAAGTAGTAGTCTATCAGGCCCGAAGCTTCTTGTTTTGCATCAAAATGTAACAGCAAAAATAAACTGTATTTCATTTCGCTATTGAAACGTCAGATCACTAAATAATTGCATGTGTAGGTTTATCCATAACTCAGGGTATGTCTGGATAGAATTCATAAGCTGATATAGAAAGTAGTTGTTAAGTATTGTTAGCTTTGCTGCTGTGGGCAGAAACCTGACCTTGCAGGTGGCCCATGAGTTGGCACCCATGGGACCACATCACCATTTGGTTACATTTGCAGCTGCAACTGATGAGCCATCAGAATGTCCTTCCTGCTCTGTGGGGCAGGTTTTCATCTGCTGTTATCTTCAAGGTGCAAACCTGGGTCTTGGGCTGAAGCTCACTTAAAATTCAGCCCATTCTTCCAGCCTGTCAGGCTAAGCTGTCCTGATTGTGGAGCAGCAGGCTGCTCCAGCTTCTTCAGCAGACAGGAGTTTAGATGCGTCAGGGCAATGTAAGGTGCACTATAACGAACTTCTCTCAAGTACTCCTTTCCTAGCTTAACTGATGTTAGTCTGACAAGCACTGTCCAGTTCAAGGACTGATGATTAAAATGTCTTGCTGGCTCTTATTTGATCTACTTCTTTGTGGCTTGTACAGCTTGTGGCAGCTTAATCCATTTGTATTGGTTTCCATCAGAACTGCTTTGACTGTGAATTTCTGTATTTTCTGTCATCACCCTTTTAGCTCTTACAGTCCAAAGTATTCCACTCTGCTGCTTTCATATTCTCTCTTTGTCGTATCTTCTGCTAGAATCAGTGATAAGCTCGTAAGGTGCAGGATTTCCTCAGAACCTGTCTCACTGAAAATAGAACTTGAGCAAAACATTCCCATATTGAAGTGTCATGGATGCAGGCTCCGTAAGTGCCAAAGAGCTTGTTGGCATGGGAGAGAGCAGTTAAATTCTGACAGCAGGTTTTAATCTAACTGAAATACCAAGCTATTATCGGATGAGTAATTTGGGTAACGTCTGCTTGATCAATATTGCAATAAGCACTGTTTTGCTAAGGCAGAACTAGAACTCCTTTCTTTTGCATAATACTTGCAAGTTTCCTTTTTGAAGCCTTCTCACAGGAGCATGGTCTGAAGTGCCTTTTCTGTGAGATCAGAGGTCTGGTTTATGGCTACTAAGTTCTGTATGTCTGGATATACCCAACAGGCAAATATGTAAACCTGGCTCTGTATGCTTGGTGCAGCTGCTAGTGTCACTGCCTATTTTGTAGCACCTTCTTAGCGAAGCAGAAATGCTATTTTATAGTTTGAATTTCTGGTTCATGTTAAAGAGTTCTGGAAAAGTTTCTTTCAATTAGTACATATATAAATAGGACAGCAGGGAAAGTCTGCATGTACACTGCCCACCTTCACTCTAGTTTTAGCTAGCCAGATGACAGCATGTATTTTGGGAAATGGTGTCTGGCACTTAAAGGATGAAAAGAAGCTAGAGATTTACAATAACAAATTGACCTGTTTAATGTATTGTCTGTACTGGAGGTGAATGGCATTTCCGCTCACTTTGAAAGAACAATTGTGAGTTCCAGTGGTCTGCTGTGTTAACACTAAGGACAGTGACGTTGTTTACACAACAGGGAGATGAAATACAGCCTGTTCCACTGTTACAATAGCATCTGTTTGCCATTAGCCATGCTTGCATAGAAAACGCACAGTCAGGCAGGTACATGCTTTCTCTTTCTACCAGTTTGTGTTTCATGGACCACATGTGTGATGTATGTCAAACCAGCCTACTGCACTGTCTGATGGGGTCTGAAGTGCCCCAGCTGGACAGCAGGTCTCAGGCCCATCTTCCCACCAGATAATTTAATCCCAGTTGAACTCTTATACCATTGTAGCACTGGTGTGAGAGCAGCATTGGTATGACCTTGTTGTGAGATCATATATTCTAGAAGCAGTCTTTTCCTTTGTTTTGAAATAGGTGAAAGCTAGACAGACATACTGTTTAGGAATTAGTCAGCACGACTTGAGAGGACACCTAGTGCTATTGTACACAGCGTACACGTCAGCTGGTAGCTCCTCTCCAAAAGTGCACAGTTCTGCAAGGAGTTGGCACCTCCATTTCACCAGCTGCAGGGTCAAAACTTGAGTTTTAAACAGCAGTCTTTACAGATGGGAACGCTTAAGTACTGTGTGCTGCTAACCATACCTCAGCAGTTTCCCCCCCCAGTGGGTGTCATCTTCCCAGATGCAACCATGAATTTTGAAGAAATAAGGTACTTGATAAAATGGGACTTTAATCTCACTTTGCCCTATGAGATTTCTCCAGGCATGTTTCTATCTACGTAAGGTTTTAAAGGCAACCAGATTGACTTGGAGAGCTTGGTTAGCTGAAAGCATGGTATGTGATCCTTCCTGCCATCGTGCCCTCTCGCTTGCTGTCTTAAGCACACATTCAGGAGCTGGAACATGGTGACCCAATTCCTGGGCATTGTGCCAGCTGGATGGAGGGAGGCCAGCCTGTACTCATGAAGGGAATGTGTAACATCCAGCCTCTGTTGCCCAAGCGAATTCTGTTGGACACAGTGCACAGTCCAACCCTCACAAAGGCAATTTAGTGCCTGGGTAGGTGGCTCCTAATCTGTCTAATTTGCTGTCATGTAGCCAATGTGAGCTAATGAGATGATTCAGCAATTGTCATGGCTCCCACTTAATGTGCTGTAAACCTGCTACTGTGACTTCCACTGCAGCTAAATACCTCTGCTTCTGTGAATGCTGTTCTCCTTCACTGCCTTTCTGATCACCTTCTAACACCCAGTAAATAAGTGTTTCTATATTCTTAAAAACCTTTAATCAAAAGCTTCGGAGAAACAAGTTTTCCTACAAATATTTCAACTTACTCATGTGCCAAGGGACTACTTCTACTCATCTACAAAGATCTGTGAAAACTACTCTGGTATGTCTGATCTCTGGAGACTAGGAGTCTTTCTTTGAGAACACTCGCCTTCTGGTAGGAAAAAAAGATTTAAAGTGTATCTCACTCAATAAAGACTGTGCCCTGTAGCCACTGAAAGAACTTAACTGGGGAAAAGTGTACAAATCTAATGTTATTTGAGGTTTTTTTCTTTCAATTAACTATTGAGAAAAATTTTTCTGACCACAAGTTCCTTTCAGTATTAGGAAACAGAAAATGAAAGAAGAGTAGCACGATCTAGGAAAAAAAAAAATCTGTTTGCTGGCTTGTGACTCTGGGACATCAATCTCCTGGCACTTCCAAAACTCTGAGATAGCAATAAATATGAGCAGCTCTAACCTACCATCCCTGATCCAGTCCCAGCAATGTCCTGAGAGAGTGTCCCTTGCTTCACCTGCAGTTCTGCATCTGCACTTCTGAGAGCCCCACAGATCATCATAGTCTAGACATGGGACTCCCAGACATCTCTCCAGAACTGTATAAATGAAGAACAATACAGTATTTCGGTCTTTACTCAGACAAAATTGCAGGCTTCCCTCTGCCTCTTGCTTTGTAGGCTAAGATACAATCACTCAGTATTAGAACTGCTCCTGCTTAGCTAATTTCTCTGTAGACAGTTGCCTGTGACTTAAGGGAGAAATACGTCCCAGCTTCAGATGAGTTCCCAGTCACAGAAGCAGCTTACAGAACTGGCTACTATTTCCAGTGGCTCTGGGAAACAGCACAAGAATTCTGCTGCAGTGGGTTCTTTTGGCTACACGATGAGTTCAGATTGTTATTCACAGTTGTGAAGCTGACTAAGACTTCTCTCGGGCATCAAAAGAATGAAAATGAGCTCTCTGCTGGACTCACTGAGGAGTTCTGTTAAGAACAGTTGTACTGTCTCAAAAAACAGTAACTCAGCTAGAATGCTCAGGACACAGACCCTCTTGGGCTTCCTGCTGAATATATCTACTGAAAAATGAGATGCTTTATTGACTTGTTTAAAGCAAAGCAAAGGGATACTGTAGATCCATCTCTTGTCTAAGGTATATGACATAGCTTACTGGTTTCATCCTTCTGTTATAGCACATCTGCCTGTTCCTCTAGCCTAGGGTCTTTTAGAAGATGGTGCTTTTTCTGCTAGGCCTGTCTGACACGGTATAGGCAATGCAATGCCTTACTAGAAGTATCTGTGAGAGTTATGTAAAAGAAAAATTCATCACACTGTACAGTTTAAATTCAGTAAAGTAGTTTCTTCCTCCAGTTCTTGTGGCTCCATGAACCATTCAGACCACGTTTACCTTCACGTGAATGTCCCAGAGTGCTGTGTGGAGATGTGCAGTTCAAAAGCAAATTTCTTACTTTGGATGTTATTTTATCTCGTATTTGGTGCCTTAACTCTCTACAATCTAAGGTTGTATATACTGTACCACAGGTAGTTTAATGGTTGTGCTTTAAAAGAACCCCCTCAAGCCTAGTCTACAGCAACTGTGCAAAGACTGAAGCTTTCTCAGGAGGAAAGTTCTCTGCCACATTTAATTAATAATCCATTGGTAAACAAGTTGCAAGAACCACAGATTAAGACTCTTTATCTGATTTCCAACTTTAAAGGTTTGTGGCAATAAGATAATTAAAGGTGCAGTCTCTTCTATGCTCTGTAAGTAAACACCAACAAAACGTAAAATAGCAAGCCAGAAGTGCATGTTTGTGAAACAGCCCTCTGGACTGTTATCTCTACTAGAACAAATTACACAAATACTAAAAGGCATTAATTGGATGTGATTGTCCTTCATTCACTGTTACGGGGGAATTGCAATGAGTAAGAGCTGCAATTAATTTTTAATTCCAAAAGAGCACATGGGCTTAAGCCTCATTCCTGCCTCTTACCTGGATCTCGAAGCTCCAGGTGCCTTAGCTGCTTTGCAGTTCATGAGGTGTAGTGCAGCTTCTGCCTGAACGCTCACCTCTGAACACGTCTGGTGCTGGTAGAATGGACTGAGGCAAGAGAGAGAGAGAAAAGAAAACAAATTAAGCTGGAATGCCCTCTCCAGTCTTAGAAGTTGAGCATCATGGAGACAGTAAGTTGGAGGAAAAGTTGCACTGCCAAGTCCATTATTAGAGTCTGTGGTAAAACCAGCAGCCTCAATATACTAAGAACAGAGGATGATGGTATTGTTTTTTCACTTGTTTGTAAGAAATTAGACAAGAGCTCTGAGCTATCCACAGAGCAGGCTCAGAGCTGCAAGTGACGTTGCTACACGAGATAAGCTGGAGGTTTTTTCCTGTTCAATAAACAAGTCCAGGATGGAAGCATTTCCAGAGGAGAAGAAATCCAGTGAAAAACCCTGATTTCATGATGCAGCCCTATCCAAAGCGGGGAAACTGCTCCAGGCAGTGTATGTAGCATGCAACTGAATTCTGGGAGGTAAAGGAGTAATAGTAATTTCCTCTAAAGGAGTACTAGTAACTTATTTTTTCTACACTGCCCACAGTATTCTAGACAACTTGCTTTTACACAGAACAACACAGCAACAAGGGAAAGCAGATACTGCTTCCACGACTACCTGTTGTAACGTACATACTTCAGTTCACCAACACTGGGGTAACTAGTTATGACAAAGAAGGTTCATCTTTGCAGGAAAGCATATTTTGACATTCTGTCCACTTCTATTTTTAAGCTAGAGGGGAGTTAATTCTAGCACTCATCTGTTTCGAAGGGAGTAGAGCAGAAGGTAAGTTTTAACTTCATACTTTGAAGCTGCTATGAATAAATTGTTTAACGGTGTTCCATGGAAACAACCTGATGTACTTCTTTATTTTCTTTATGTTCATTTCCACATTCTTAGAAAAGCACAAGCTTTTGTAAGCATAATCAATACAAAGTTACTCAGGGTACTGTGTCATCTCAGCAGTGGACACAAACTGCATCTTCAGTCAACAGGCACATATAAACCAAGCTTAAATTAAGAGGAACAGAACATCTTGGCAGGTTTTGCTTTACTACTGGCACTGTTACTATTTAATGATCTATGCATATGGCAATATGTGTGTATTGCTGCACTCCCAACAGAACTTGTAGTTCTGGATGGGCATCCTGTAAACTAACGAAGTAAAATGTAGTCGGTGTAGGGGAGAGAGTATTCTTTCATTATATTCACAGAGAACTGTTTACAAGCAGACAGAAAGTGATACTGCTCAAAGCAGAAAAATGGTGGGCTGAAGAATAACATTCAGAGCACTACAGCTTTTGAAAAGCTAGTGATTCTAACTAAATTTTCATTAGTTATGAAAATTCTGATTTGCTGTACAGATTATTTCCTGTGTTTTCAAACTAGTATCACTGCTTCCCTGCTCAGAATAACAGGATAAAGACCAGTGTAGCTTTCTAGTAACATCTGTTACATGAAAATACAGAAAGCAGGAGCTGTACTGCAGAGAGCATATTCAACTACAGAGCCATTCTCTGGGCAATGCTGCGTAATTCAAGAGTGGGTAAATTTGCCTTCAGGGACAACACAACACATAACAGACGTTATAAAAAAATAAACAACAACACACCACAGAAAAAAGCCTCGAAGCTTTGTCCAGTCATACATTTATTCTTCCCTGAAAAAGGGACAAGTACGCTCATATGTGGTTAGTGAGTTATACATCAGACATCACAAAGGTCCTTAAGGACACCTTTTAAAGCTAGTCTCCTTTTGGACAGAAAAGGGAGAAAGTTGACTCTGTCTTCCAGTTCCAAAGTGCAGTGTCTTATTTCTGATCCTAACCCTAAGTCAATATTTATTGATCAAACCGACTAAGCTTTTTAGGTCGACAAGCTCTCCACAAAGCAATTCTGTTTTCTCGAGCCTCTGCAGGGGCCAGCAACTGGTGCTTAACTACTACTACTTCCACTTCTGTATGTCACCTGTGTCCTCCAGGTCTCCCAGAGCCAGTCTGGGCCACCTGCACTTCTAAGAGAGCAACACTGCTGGGGGGGGGAGGACTGTCAAAAGCACTGAAACACTGCAGCGAAGTCTCAGTGAGCTGTATGCTTTTTAAAGTCCTGTCCAGTTCTCAATGACAAAGTTGAGCATGAAACCTGTACTGCCAAATGTACCAGCCCCTTAAATGAGAAGGAAATCTATGGGAAGCAGTCTCAGAAGTGGAGGTTTTGAGGAAAGGCTGGTATTTTTCAGGTCCAACTCATGAGATTTTTCTTTTTTAAATGGTTGAGCTTCCACCCACCAAAATCACCATCAGTCAAATTAATTAAAACTGTTCCTGCTAATCTGAGGTAAAACATCCTCCTGTGTAACCCAAACCACCATCATCCATCCATCTAAAGAATTCTCAAGCAAAGAATCCTCAGGAGGCAGAGCCCTGCTGAGTCTGCACACTAGGAGGCAGACAGGCAATGTGGCAGTGCAGTATAATGTGACTTTTCTGATGACAATTAATTCTCAAAACAAGGAAAAGACAGGGGCAGTGTTTCATGCTCAGCAAGTTTGTGGATGGAAAGAATGCAATTCTATAATCACTTGTACTGTATTTCTGTTTCTAGACTTGAATGAATTTCACTTTTCCTTTGTGGGTCAGCATAGTAAAACGTTAAAGAAAAGGTCTATTTTTCTAAATCTCTCTCACCAATAGGGGTCTGGCCTGTAACCAACAGATGGATATCTTTATCCACAGAGGACAGAGTGTTTATTTTTACACTAAGATTGGACATGGCATTGAATAAAAAGAAGTATGACCTTTGAACTATCTAAACTTTAAATACTATGAACAAATTCTACAAATGAGTAATATGGTGGACAATTCAATCTTTCTTCCCAATAAATCTCTCAGAAGAAGTTACCTAGAATTAAACTTCCAAATGAAGTACCACAGATCCCTGGGGTCTAATTTCAGATTACTTTCAAAATATTTTAAGATTTCTCCCAATTTTTGATGTGTAGAGAACGTTTAAACGATTCCTGACTATAAATAAAGCAACTTCAAATAAAGTAATTTGGCAACAACTGTAGCTATTTATGGCATTAAAAATGTAATTGGAACATTCAAATAGTCTTAATTCAGTAGCAGCTGAGTGGGAAGAAAAATAACTGCACAGTGAGTTTTAAATGGAGCTGTATCTACTCTCTAGCCAAGAAAGCCTGCAAATGTAAAGAAAATGGAATGCTCTTTGTACATGAAGTTGCTTCCTCACGTGATGCTGTACCCTGTACACTCGGCTTCATTTGGCTTCTGTGTTGTGGTTCGTGTGCCAGCCACTGTTATTAACTGTACACAACACTTAGATCTGCACTGTAATCTTGGTTCATTTGCCACTGATTGTAACCCAATGCTACAGATTTATCTGTATATAAAACCGTAACCATGTCCCATTTGCTTCCAAGAGCATACAATAAAGGCATCTCTCTGTAAACAGGAATTATGGCCTTATGATTGGTTTGGGGTTTTTTGTTTACAGTGAGGAAACTGGCTTTAAGGTTTTTCAAAGCCTGGGAAGCCAAACCACAGAAGTGCATTTGACTTCAGTCAGGTAATAGGTTCAGCACAAAGGGGAGACAGGCTTCCTAAGGCTGCAGTTTTACCAGAGATGAGTATTAGCAAAATGGTGACTCCAAGATGTAAACCTAAAGCAGATTTATGCTGCAACAAGCAGAACGCATTCCTTCACAAAGGTGGCAGTGAACACAGTATACAGGAGTGAAACTGGGTAAGGGCTGCTACACACAAGTAACCCTGGGGTTCAGCCAATGGCAGCAGTAACAGAAAAGCCCAGAGAAGGCTGTGCTGAGACAGCCAGGAGGCAAGTTTTACCTCAGAATGAAAACTGAACATTTCCTAGGATCTGGCTAATTAGAAAAAAAAAAAAAAAAGTATGTTTTCTTAAAACATAAATTACATGTATTAAGAATATGTAAGGTTCTTTCTCAAACTTTTCTTCTCTCCTGCCCTCTCATTTCACTGTGTTTCCTAAACATTAAATTCCTGCCATCCAAGTTTGCCCTCTGAGGTCTGACACAAATCTGGGCAATTTCCTTGTCTGGAGCCATGAGGGCAGGAATTGAGGATACCATGGAATTGTGTGGCTGTTGATTGCTTGAGGCTGCAACTCATGGCAAGATTTACTGGAATATACAAGCATGTCCAGCTGCCTGGACTTACAGAACACAGTTTTACTCTAAAAGGGAAGACAGAGCAGTCATCATACGCTCTTACCTTTTCTTTGAAGTATTTTTTCCAGTCTTTAATTCAGAATTTGAAGT